ACGGAATTAATATAGAAAATGTGTAAAATTCCTTTCGATTTTTGATTGAATGATCGATGTTGACGGATAATAATAAGTTGAAATTTAACAGTGCGAGTTTGAATTTGGGGAAAATTGTAATGGTTAAAAAAAATTTTTGATATACAATACTGTGCAATTTATTTCGGATGAGAGAATTTCTTTTTGGAATAAAATCGTGTTCAAAATCACACAGAAGAATAATATTTTATATTTTTGTAAAGTCAATAAAAATTTTTTTCCCTGTATAAAAACTTTCAATGGAATAGAAAATAATTCCATTAAATTGCTTTACAACATTACGTAAAATATATACTTTTGACAAAAAATTTATAACTGGAAGGAATGAAATGAAATGAAATAAAAAATTAGATCCAATTCGACAATAAGACTATAAAAATTTAATAAAAATATCAACAATGCGATATCCCAGGGGATATCTAAAATTCCGCTGGATGGAATAAATATACTGGGCAATAAAATATTTTTCTTTTTTTTTTTTTTTTCTAAAAAACTATTGACTATTGACTATTGGGTTAATAAAAGGAGTGACCGTTGACCATGGTGATAATTCTCCAAATATCAAAAATCCGTTAGCCATTTCCGTTCCGCTCGTTTTATTCGGTGAAAAATCTCGAGTGTGCTTGAAAAAAAAAAAAAACAACAACAAAACGAAAAAAAGAAAAAAAAAAACGAATTTCATTCCCAAATAATCGCACGCGGCGCATGTTGTTTCCCCCCCTATCTCCTCCCCCTCCCTTCCCCTTCGTACTTAGCAATATAAATTTTCGAATAAAAGTTCCGGGAGACAACGCGTATGCGGTATATAACAAGACTGCAACTTTAAAATGATCGAATTTATTGCGACGTCCTTTGCTCGTTCGTCGGTGGTGCAACACGAATTTTATATATCGCAAACTTCGTGATGTAAATCCACGGAGACAAAATTATGAAACGAAATTCAGACTTGGAAATAATCGTACTTAAACTCTCGTATGTCTCGAAACGTTCTTTTTTTTCTTCTTCTTCTTCTTTTATATTTTTTTCTAACAAATTTTTTTCAAAGCTTTTTTTCCAAAGCAAATGTTCCAAAACGGAGATACATACATAATTCTAATTCATGGTACATTTTGCCGTCATTTGTTATTCACAGTTGAGGAACCATGGGTGTTAAAGAATTCTGTTTATATTGAACCGTGTATTGGAAAATATAAAGTAGAAAGTGAATGTTTGAGAAAGGTATACAGAATATTTCAGTAAGCGGAATATTTTAATATTGATAGAATTTTTAAAATTGTTAAAAAAATTTTACCGATTAAATTAAGAAAGTTTATAATCCAAATCTTAAAACTAGTAATAATATATTAACACGCTTATGGGAACATGATAAGATTAAATTCTCTTTTAACTCCAATTAATCTCCGCGATATTTAAAAAAAAAACAAAAATACAAAATAAATATTCGATTCGAAATAATTTAATTAAAAATCTGAATTTAATTCCAAAAAAAAAAAAAAA